GCTATAATAAAACTGGTTCGATTGCAGAGAAGTAGAAAAAAGATCTTTTGGACTTATTTCCAATGATACCAAATGTTTTTCATGATTTTTATAAAAATTTACATACTATTTATTGTTCTAGGTCCAAATTGTTTTTACTTATAACTCGCTGCAACTCATTTTGAAATGGTTCGATAGATGCTTCGACACATGAAATTTTCTCACCTGTTATTTTAAGGCACCTAATACCATGACGATGTTTAAATTGTCTAGCCAACCTATACTAACAGTAAAACCATCTTCCTGCTTTGTTATTTCACAGTGAAATAAACGTGCTTTTTCGCAAATTATTTCACCACTTATCGGAATGTGATGTCTCCGCTGTTTCATAAACTATATAAATAAAGCATTTTCGAGAACAAGATTTTCCTGCTGTTTTAAAGTTTTACGGGTGCCTGGACCATGTTCAGTTGTGCTGAAAAACTTCATAATTTTCTCTTTATTTTTTTTTATGTCACCAATAGTCGATTTACCTATTCTGTACTTCTCAGCAATCATACCACACCATGGTAGATCTGGCCATTTTCTATTATTTTAATTATTTAAATTTTTTTATCTTAAGTTTAAGTTACGTGTTTACGAGGAGCCATTGTAACCAACAAGAATAATAACCACTCGGCAAAAAAGAAATAATCGAACTGACCATCGATTTATTACTATCAGTCTTTGCTAGGAACAGTAGATATTAAAAATGACAAAATTGTATTTCTTGATAACAATATCTTATACATAGATTAATTGGGTTCCGGGAATTCTCATAAAATCTATTTACTAACAAATGGAATTGTCCCGTCCGGAGGATTACCGCGTTCACCGGATTATCGGGGGTTCAGACTATCGAGGCTCTACTGTATACTTAATAAAAATATATCACCAAATCAATGTTCCCCCGTGGATAAGACGCAAAAAAAAATAATACCCTTATACAATATTTAATATCACCCTCTTACGCATTCTATAAAACGCAAACGTAAAAGATTCTATCACATTAACCAATCAAATATAACAAAAATATTTCAAGAATCTCACCAGAGTTCACTAAACTAGTTTCTCAGACTATAAAAAGGCCATTTTTCCACAAAAGAAAGGACGACGACGCTCCTCTCTGTCACTGCTACAACCACGACTATGCGTCTCTATAGAGTTCTCTATCAATACACATATATGGAATCTGCATGAGATTTCCCCCATTTAACGAGGAAAATATTTTCAATTTTGAGGGTAATGTCTTCGACTAGATACGATTTGTGAGCTTTTGACTATCGTTGTAAGAAATTGGTTCGGTGAGAGCTGAGAAAAAGTGGTAATAGACACAAAAAAAAAACACATCATAGTAATATTAACACCTTTTCAGCTTGGCATCGAAGCAAAAGAAAATATACTTTTCATAAAAAAATAAATTTTAACTAAAAAAAAAGGCTCAAAACATTATGATTAATAAAAAAAAATACGATAACCAGTCCTGGATGGGACTCATCCTAAGATGGAGATCTCAGTCCTGGAAATGGTCAACGCCTCACAAAAGTTAATACATAGTTAAAAAAACATATATGCTAGACTAACTGACTATAATACACCCTATTTATTATATTATTAAGTGTGAGCCTTCAAATATCGTTCGACCCATCCTCTTGAAAGTCTAAATCCGGCACTTCAATACTTTAAGATTAAAATAATAGGTGTCGCTAATATGAAAACATATACCTCTTTTTTTGAATATTTTGTCTTATATCTTGTGTTATCAGTAGAATGACATATTGATAGTTGTGTTTATATTGGTTTTGACATACTATTAGAACTACATCTCTCTGTTCTATATGCCTTTAACTCAGTCATTAAACCAGGATGCATATGCTATTAAAATATTCAAGAGTATTGTTTTATTTGAATTTGAATGAAAAAATATATTTTAAATATTTACTTTATATTCACTTAATAAGTTTCCGGTAGAACATGTGTACACAATTATCTGTTTAAGACACTTAAAATAAATAACAGACATTTATGATCCAGTGTACTGGAACCACTGCGTGGTTTAAATTATCTTAAAAAATTTCACTATTAATTATTTCATTAATTTTGAACAATTGATCTTGAATATCTGGTTCACTGCAACCTTTTGTAATAGATACACGGCTTATATTTATCACGATACAGCTTTACCGCATATTTATATCAATATGTCCCTTGGTCTATTCCTTAAGCTAGTTGTAAGCCTAATGACAATCATGTTGTTACCCTGATCGCGTCACTATTGTAGTAATTAGATGAGGAAGTATTGAATTACGTCGATTTTAGTATAATATAAGCTTTACAATAGTAGTAAGCAATTTTTGAACTCTTAAGCAATATAATAATTCCATATAAAAGGGAAATGCAGAGTAAGCAAATTAATAATGGTGGGAAAAAGAATATAAAAGGGAAACATGAAAAGTATAGGGGGACAACACGGGACGATACTGGGCGAGACGAGACTGGACGTTTTGGTCGAAGAAACGTCGAGTTACGGGTTAGGTCGTTGATGTAAGAATAACTTTATATTTTTTTTTATAAGATTTAATTAATTTTTGTGTTAAATTATTATATTATATTTGACTTTGTGTTTGATACATTTCGTAAATAAAATAACTATTTAAAAATCTGGACTTAGCGCAAATATTTTATATTCACGGTGATCTCGAAATTGTGTGTGTGTGTGCGGCTAGAGTCTAGGTTGGACTGCTGGTCCTTTAGTCAATCTTGATAATTAGTGAACGAGCTGGCTAGTGTTTGGGCTTAACCGTCCTTTAGTGGGTATAGTAAAAAGGTAGTTGTGCTGGTGGCTGACAAGGAGCCACCCTTCAGTCTGCTACTTTTGAGCTAGACTGTGCTGACGGGTCTAAACTCTACCCCTTTAGTAGTCCACTAATTAGAGAGATTGGGGCTGATCAGTTTATCCAACGGGAGGACTCGAGAAGAGCTCGGACGACGAACTCGTCGTCAATATATATATATATATATATATATACACAAAACTTTAATAAACCTTTGTGTCTACGTTGGGGCACTACCGACGTACGACATAAAATTTGGTGTCCCATGAGAGGAATCTCTGTTCTAACTGTAGACAACCAACGACGTATTTTATCGTCCAATATTGGTCTTTATCGTAACCATATTATTTGTTATTATCGTATTTATGTCGTTAAGAGGTTATTTTTTTTATATCTTGACACGGCACCGGCTGGCGCTTACCCGTGTCTCTCGCGATATCAGCCGTCCAGTTATTAATATGACACTCGATTGTCTCCCCGCCCTTGACACTGAGATAAGGCCGCTGCCGAGTATGGATTACGGATATTGCGTTCTATTGCGTTTCGGACGTAAACCTTAACTGGTCGTTTTTATTTTTCCTGTGTGGAACTTTTCTTTGATTCTCTGAGTTTTATTTTGGTGCATCGGCTACCATACTGATTTAACTTGTGCAGCCCTGCGTCTCGCCTTCAATACGGCCATTTAATTAGGCCCTTATTAAAATCACACTTGAACGTAACTCGTGGATTATATTATCCTGTGCGGATTCGCGAGTTGTATAACGGTACTCTACTGGTTTAACTAATAACAATTATATATATATACCGTCGCGTACGCTTAACTTGTGCGTTGTACCATATTGGATTACGCGTTAAGTGGCTCCCCGAAAGGAGTCAAAACCGGACGAGTGAAGTTAAGGTAAGAGGATTTGAGCCAATTCAGTTTTATTTCTAATTATATTAGATTTTAGTTTTAACTTGAAACGGTGAAGTCTCCCTTACATATTTGATAGTTTATATGGTTATTTGAACGGATTTAACTGGTGACAGCAGTGACTTTTTACCTGGGTTATTCACAGTAACGTGTTAGCGGGATTAGATTTAGCCTGGTCTCTGGGAAAATTTTCTTTTATAAAAATAAAGTCAGAACAGTTTATCTAATATAATCCGCCGTAAGTATTATCGTTTAAAGTGCTGGTTACAGTTTGTTATAAAGACCTTATTGATATCGACAATAAGTGAATTTCCGGCCGATAGTTACAGTCTTTAGGTAGATAAAAACAGGATATTTTCGTCTGACCTTGTCAAAGTGGCCGATTTCCATGTAACCGTTATTATTGTTGTTCGCTCGCTGCCATATCATATACGGCGTACCATCTTATCGCGGTACTTTATTACAACAATAGCAATAATAATAACACTTGTTTTCTACAGCAGTCAGTGATGGTATATTGAAGGGAATTTCCCGGAATGCAGGGAAATTTTGGTGAAATTTTCCTAAACGGGAATGCAGGGAATCTAAAGCAAAAATGATCCTTAAAACGGGAAATTTTGTATTCCTAAAATTGTATTTTTTTTATTATTTTATAAAATTATATTTTGGTTATTTCGATTTTTCATGTAACTTAACTCATACATTTTATAGATTCTATATATATATATTTATGGTTGGTACATATTATAAGTGGTTGGTAACTTCACTATTATTTTACTGTAATCTGTAGTTAGGTACAAATATTATAATGAAATTTGTAATAATGATAACAGATTAAATTAATAATTTGGAGGTGTGTGTATTACACTCCAATAAAGAAAAGAAAAGAAATAATGAACAACGATTATTACAAACGTATATAAATGGTTTATTGCACTATGGAGCGTATTATTCTGTACAAAATATATAATTATAAAATAAAGATCTTAACATAAAAACGTGTATTAACAAGGTAGATGAGATCGTGTGTAGTATTATCACATAGAGCGGACGGGTCGCCACAATAACGACAATGTTATCATTTTAACTTGGAAACTAGATAAGATTTTAGATACAAATTTATTTTGATAGGTAAAAATATTAACTTTTTTGTTGACTTGTTAAGTTTTATTGATTCGTTAAATTTTTTTTCTTTCTTAATATCAAAAAAAATAAGTTACCATTGATAAATTACCATGGATTCCGATAATGATTGTGGACCATCAACTCCAAAAAAAAAGAGAGCATTAAGGAACGAACTATCAAAGGAAGAAAAAAAAAGAGTTCACATTAAATTATTTAGAAAAGAATGGCTTGAAATAAAAGATTATAAATTTTGGCTTCAAGAAATATCAAATGATAAAACTAAATGTAAATGTGTGGCATGTAATGTAGTGCTGGTAAGTGGAAAAAGCGAGCTAGCAAAACATAGCGAAGGAAAAAAACATTTATCAAATATTAAAAGCCTGAGAGGATCACAAAATCTTAAAGTTTTAACTAAAAATATAAAGTATGAAGATAAAAATAAAGATATAAAGAGTGCAGAAATTAAACTATCAGCATATTTTGCAAATCACAATATTGCATTTCAGGCTGTAGATATATTAACTCCTGTTTTGCAGGATATTTTTAAAGATTCAAAGGTTGCCCAGTCACTGACACTCCATCGAAAAAAATGTACAAGCATAATTAACAATGTTATTGCACCTGTAGAAATAAATGAACTATTGAAATTATTAGAACATGTCCCTTTTCAGTTCTGGTCGATGAAAGCACTGACATAAGCTCACATAAGTTTCTTTGCGTTCTTGTCCATTATGTCCACCCTAAAGCAGGAACTGTACATACTAGATTACTTGAGTTGGTTGCGATAGATGCTACTGATGGCAGCGCAAAAAAAGTTTATGAAAAATTTAAAAGCTGCTTGCAATCAAAACAAATTCCTATTGAAAACCTTGTTGGAATGGCTAGTGATGGAGCAAACATGATGGTGGGAAAAAACAATTCTTTTTTTTCACATTTGAAGAAAGATTGCCCAAATATAGTTCTGATGCAATGTATATGTCATTCAGCGGCTTTAGTTGCAAGCAAGGCAACAGAAAAATTACCTAGGTCTCCTGAAGATTTAATTAGATCGGTAATTATTAATTTTATAACTATATTATTGATTTTGTATCTAACATTAATTAAACTATGATTATAATTATTATCAGGTGGCTACTTACATATCGGGCAGTGCAAAAAGAACAGCAATTTTGCAAGAAATCCAAGAATTTTTCGGAGAACAAAAAAAAAAAATATTGAAGTTGGCAGACACTAGGTGGTTGGCATTACATCAATGTGTTGTAAGGATGCTAGAGTGTTGGAGTAGCCTTTCACAATATTTCCTGGTTGCTGTAACTGAAGATCATTTAAAAAGTGCTGAAATAATACTAGAATCCTTAAATAACAATGTCGTCAAAGCTTATTTTTACTTTCTTAAGTATTCTTTAAATATATTTAACTCTTTCAATGCTATGTTTCAAACTAACAAAATTATAATACATGAAATGTATTCAAATTCAATTCGGCTTTTAAAAACAATTTTACAAAATTTCATAAATCCTAAATATTTAGTAACAGATATATTTGATCAAGCATTATTTACTGATCCTAATAAATTTTTACCTGAATCAGAAGTATTTGTGGGATCCGAATGTGAAGAATTTATCAAAGCTTTTCCTAGAAATATTTTTATTGATTTCGAAATTTTATATCAAAGCTGCTGAAGAAATCGCAGAAAGGTTACCAATACATAATCTTTTTTTTAAAGAATTTAAATTTTTAAACCCTGAAACATGTTTTGACCCTCAAAAATGTAATACTACTACCAATCAGTTAGATAAATCAAAAGAAATATTTGGAAGTTATTTTGATGCATATAAAGTAATTGAAGAATTACGTGAAATACCTTATTTTTTCACAAATGAACAAATAGCTAATTTAAAAAAAATGAATATTTCTGAGATGTGGCATGAAATTGGAACAGTAAAAGATTTTACAGATGACAATTTTAAATTTAATAACATTTGTAAATTAGCCAAAATTATTTTAACATTACCTCATAGTAATGCTGCAGCGGAGCGAATTTTTTCAATCCTCACAGATTTGAAAACTAAAAAAAGAAATAGGCTTGCCGACAACACTTTAAATGCTGTGACAATTATACGTTCATCATTTCAAGATAAATATTTGACTACTGATAGTTTTGTTGTAACTGATAAACATTTACAACTACATAATTATAATATGTATAAAACATAATCTATAACGTAACTAAAAGACTGAATAAATTTAGTGATTTCTTTAAAAAAAATTTTGACTGATTATAACTTGATTTAGTAACTTAATTGTGATTTATGAACAATGTTCAATTTTAAGATTTTTTTTATGTATATTTTTATATAAGTGATTTTTAATGATTTCTTTAAAAAAAGTTATAGACTTTTACTAACTTGTTTTAGTATTTTAATTGTTATTTATGAACAATGTTCATTATTAAGATGTTTTTTTTATTTATATTTTTATATAAGTGGTTTTTATTGATTTCTTTAAAAAAAGTTATTGACTTTAACTAACTTGTTTTAGTATTTTAATTGTTATTTATGAACAATGTTCATTATTAAGATGTTTTTTTTATTTATATTTTTATATAAGTGGTTTTTATTGATTTCTTTAAAAAAAATTTTGACTGATTATAACTTGATTTAGTAACTTAATTGTGATTTATGAACAATGTTCATTATTAAGATGTTTTTTATTTATATTTTTATATAAGTGGTTTTTAATGATACCTTTAAAAAAAGTTGTGATTTATAAATAAACGAGTTGTTTACATATTTGTTGTTTGTTTATTAAATAATTTTATGTACTCCATTTGCGATTAATTTAAGAGTATTATTGTACAGCTAGTAAAAGCTAGTAAAAATACATCAGGGATGGTCAGCATGAATATTTTCACAAGCTTCATAAATTAATACAAAGCTAATAAGATTCAAAATATTTATAAATACATTTTATAATTTTATATACTGTGATTTTATATTACAGTCATATTCCACTAGATGTCAGCACTGCAGGGAAATTTTGAGTAAAAACGGGAAATTTTGTTTCTATCTGCGGGAATATTGCCGATACTTTCATACCATCACTGACAGCAGTAGTAAATTTGACCGTACACGGAGATATTGTTTTATAGTAACATATATTATAGTATTATTACATAGCACCCCGTACGCCGCTCGATAGCGATATTCTGGTCCGCGAACCCGAAGTGGGGGTTTTAGACAATTCCACGGACAGGATCTGAGAACTTGACGCGAATAATCAGCGGCCCATGACATATTATTTAATTTAATCGCTCACCACCAATCACCTGCCCTGTCGTTCAAAAACGGGACGACGATATTCACCCATTGTTGGGTGTATACCGCCCTGACAGAATAGATCCTCCGCTCTGTCTAGAAACTCCCATGGGTCCTCTTCGTTTCTCCCGTAATATTCAGGTAAGCAGGCGCGTAAGGTGCGTAGATGGTGGTAAGGTACAAATACAGATCACGAGCTGACAAATCATTGAAAGATCGACGACCGTCGGTTGTGTTGAATTGCCCCTCCCGTGGTTGGCGCGTAAACGAAAAATCTGTCGGCTCATTCTCATATGTATGAGAACGATTGGTGGTGAGCGATTAAATTAAATAATATGTCATGGGCGGAATTTAGGTCCGAATTACTCGGGGAGTTCGACAATATCGATATCAGGACTGCGCTCGAGACGGACTTAAAAACGACGCGACAGGGCCCCCGACAAACGTTAACCGAGTTTATTATCATGGAGGCGCAGGATCTAATAGAACCGAGTGTATCGCCGTAGTCAACACCGACTGTGCTGGCCAAGAAGAAGGACGGGACTTTTCGTTTATGTATAGATTACCGACGACTAAACGAAGTAACCGTTTCGGACGCGTACCCCATGCCTAATCTAAACGACATGGTTAGGAACATGAGAGGGGCAAAAATGTACACGCCTCTCGACTTAAAGTCGGGTTATTGGCAATGCTCTTTAAATCAAAAAGCCCGTAAGTTTACGGCATTTAGAACAAAAAGGGGCTTATTTTAATTTCGTGTACTACCGTTTGGACTCAAAAATTCGCCTAAGACTTTCGNTACCGTTTGGACTCAAAAATTCGCCTATGACTTTCGTAAGACTTATGAATGAAGTACTTAGAGGATATCTAGATGATTTTGTCCAAGTTTACTTGGACGACATAATAATTTATTCAAGTAGTTTAGGCAAAGTTCTAGAACGATTAGAGCGACACGGGCTGACATGTCACACAAAAAAGTGTAAAATAGGGTTTTCCGAAATTTCCTTTTTGGGCCATATTGTACACGGTGAGGGCATAGACAAGCATCCCGAAAAACTCGAGTCCATCCGCGTCCTATCGGTCCACGGAATGTCCCACGTAGATGTCTCGGCATATTTAATTGGTATTGTCAGTTCGTCGACAACTACGCCGAAACAATAGCGCCGCTGACAAATCTGCTAAAAAGGGGGACGAAATGGTTGTGGACGGAAGACTATCAAAGGGCTTTCGAACAGGTAAAAAAGGCACTGTGTGAGTCCCCACGACTGAGTCCTCCTGACTACGCGAAAACTTTCTGCCTTCAAACCGATGCGAGTGAAATGGGCGTGGGAGCAATAATCTTACAACACGGAGATGAACCGGGAGACAGAAGAATCATATCCTACGCCAGTAAGAATCCTTCAGAAACGCAGAAACGTTATGCCGCCGTAGAACGAGAATGCTTAGCAATTATATGGGCGACTGATAAATGTCGCCCGTACTTACAGTATTCTCCGTTCGAATTATTTACTGATAATTCCGCGTTGACTTGGCTACACAGAGCAAAGGACAACAATTCAAAATTAACTAGGTGGGCGCTACATCTAGGTAATTTAAATTTTACAACGACACATGTACCCGGGAAACGTAGATCTCTCAACACTAGATATAGCAGGCGACCCACATACACACGCATTATTAACGCGCACGATAAAAAATTATTCTGCAGTTTTTAACGACACGGTAGGTCGCACAAAGCTTATCGAACACAACATCGTTCTAAAAGACCCGACGCCTATCGCGCAAAAACCATATCCGTACCCGCTACACAAACAACAAGCGATAGACGAAATGGTAAGCGACATGGAATCACAAGGGCTCATAGAACCCAGCACTTCTCCTTGGTCAGCACCAGTCGTGCTGGCCAAGAAAAAAGACGGCTCATATCGCTTATGTGTCGACTATAGGCGACTTAACGATGTGACCGTATCAGACGCGTATCCCATGCCTAATCTAAACGAAATGATTAGAAGCATGAGGGGGGCGAAAGTTTTCACGTCACTCGATTTAAAATCGGGTTACTGGCAATGCTCGTTACAGCAAAACGTACGCGAATACACCGCGTTCAGAACGAAAAAGGGCTTATTTCAGTTTCGTGTACTTCCGTTCGGACTTAAGAATGCACCCATGACCTTCGTACGCTTAATGAACGAAGTACTTAGGGGGTACATCGACGACTTCGTTCAAGTCTATCTGGACGATATTTTAATTTTTTCGGACAGTGTCGAAACACATCTAGACCACCTTAGCAAGGTTCTAGAACGCCTAATGCGTCATGGCCTAACATGCCACACTAAAAAGTGTAAGATCGGGTATTCTGAAATTTCCTTTTTGGGACACCGGGTGCAAGGGTTAGGCATAGACAAAGAGCCGGAAAAATTACAGTCTATACGCGATATTCCAGTCCCACGCAATGTAAGGGATATACGAAAATTTTTAGGGGTATGCAACTGGTATAGTCAGTTTGTCGACAACTATGCGGACAGCATCGATCCCCTCACCCACCTGTTAAAGAAAGGGGAGAAATGGTCGTGGTCTCAACCACAACAACACGCTTTCGAGCACATTAAATCGGCAATATGCGACTCACCACGCCTTTCCTCCCCCGACTACACAAAGATCTTTTGCCTACAAACCGACGCTAGTGAACTAGGCGTAGGGGCGGTATTATTTCAACACGGGTAAAAACCGAGGGAAAAGGATATCGTCGCTTACGCGAGTAAAAAGCTGTCGGATACGCAAAAACGTTATGCCGCTGTCGAGCGCGAATGTCTAGCGATCATATGGGCAACCGATAAATTTAGGTCATACTTAGAGTACGCCCCTTTCGAGTTATATACAGATAATTCAGCGCTAACTTATCTGCACAAAGCGAAGGGAACAAACAGTAAGTTGACCCGCTGGGCGCTACACCTGGGTAACCTAAATTTCACCACGACACACGTACCGGGCAAACACAACGAAGCACCCGACATGTTGTCACGTCACCCAACGGACGGACCCCCTGTTGACGAAGACGCCCTAGACGACAATTTGTTAGGCGCGCCAATGTCTAGTCCGCCCACAACCACCGCCACTCTCGATAATATCTATTCCATTACCGAGGCAAACGACGCGATCTGCGACCGACCGTTCACGGGGGGGGAAGTACGAGAGTGGCAAAACAACGACCAGTTTCTCTCTTCGGTCATAAAAAATTTAAACGCGCAACTTACGATAGCGAACGAAAAACCGGCCGCGGAAAATAAGGACGAATTTTTTTTGTTGGACGGAATCTTACGTATTCGTATAGGCGCTGACACACCGGTAGTCGTCCCCACCGACAAAGTACAACATATAATTTGGCGGTACCACGACGACCCCCTATCATGTCACCCCGGATGGAGAGAAACGCACCGAGCGGTCAAACAACGGTTCTACTGTAAAGGGTTAAGAAACGCCGTGCGCATGTACGTAAAATCGTGTCACATTTGCGCGTGCATTAAGCCCTTAAACAGGCGCCCCGAAGACCCGATGGTCAAGCGCCAACCCAGACAGCCGTGGGAAGTAATCAGTATCTTGGGATACAAAATTGCCACCTTTGTTGTTCGCTCTACGCAATAGGCGCAACGAGACTACCGGATACGCACCGTCCATACTCGTATTTGGTAGAGAAAGTAAGAAACCGGGTAATTGGCTACTACAGTGAGTACAACCGGTAGCACCTGCTACTATCAATAACGACCGATTAGAGCGTGAACGACAAATCACTAGCACAAAAATAACACCGCCGTCCGTTCACATCAAAACAAAATACGCGGTCGGCGACGTTGTGTACTATAAAGCGCATCACTTATCAAACGCGAATAGACAATTTTGTGCGGGTTTTGCACCGAAGTGGTGGGGCCCCGTGAGATTAACCGAACGCCTCGGTAAAGGCGTGTTCTTAACGGACCAGTCCCCACCAAGGAAAATTCATGTCTCATGTATGAAAAAGCAAAGTTAGTAGTTTTTTTTTTTTTGTTATTTTTCAGCATGAGCAACAACAACAACAACAACCCAGCCACACCCTTATCCGTCGAGGAGGTCCAACGGTTGGTTGGCCAATTGGCGGGCCGGGTGGGCCTCCCGACGGATCCCATCCCGCGCGTACTGCGCTCGGCGGAGGATGCTTCGTGCGCCCCCCTGCCCGAGGTACTAAGGAATCCTGTAGCTCGAGCCCATTTCGAACGGGGTGTGCGGGCGGGTCGCGAGGAGGTGAGGCGCGAAATACAAAACGCGCTAAACTCCCTCCCCCGCGCCTCCCCGTCCGCCCAGGGAGTCCAAGCGCCCCTTCCCCCAAAACCTCGTCGGGTGATAAATGTGGCGGCCCAACACTTTCCCCGCCCAGGGGAGGCGTCCACAAGCAATACGCGGGTGGCCCCCTCTGCTCGCCCTCTACTGTCTTTCCGCGCTACGCGGCCAGACAGCGCCCCACCGACATCACGCCGCCCGAAGCATCCATACGCTAGGGGCAGTGTAAGGGCCGCATCGACGTCTACCTCTCCGACCAGTAAAACTCCTCGGTACTACACTCCGTCCGAGCGGGAATGCCGGACGAAGAAGTACCGGGATTTCGACGTTGGGGGGTCGTCGTCGATGAGGACCTTACACCGCCCATAACCCCGACCGCAACACTGCGGACACCGGTCATGACAACAACACCACCAGCATCAGTAACAACACCAACAACATCAGCATCAACCACAACAGTGACAACAACTGTTGCCAGCCGGCCGTCGGGCGTGTTTGTGGACGGGGTGTTGGTGGCTCCAGCATCAGCAACGACACCAGCGACCACCGCACAGGAGAAGCAGCCGATGGAACTGGTGGACGACGGCCTGGTACGGGAGATGGACCTGTTCCTCTCCTGTCCCACCACCACAGCACAGCCGAAGCCCCCGGCCGAGTAAGATCTCCCCCCCACCCCAAGCGAATGACACAGATGTTTATTCGATCTTTTGGTGTTACAATTCTTGTTTTTTTTTTCATTAAACGGCTCGACGCCACTTGGAAAACCAGCTAGCATTATTTATTTTGTTCATCACCTACTTCTATCGCAACACACGTTATCCGACCGCGGGGCCCCCTGTTGACGAAGAGTTATTCGACGACAATCTGGTGGGCGCACCAACAACGAGAGCGTCGGATAATACGCGGGCCACTCTTGACAATGTTTTTGCCTTAACCGAAACAAACGCCGCGTCAGATAAACGGCCGTTTATTTGGGGATACCACGACGATGCGCTGGCGTGTCACCCAAGATGGAAAGATACCTACCGAGCGATCAAACAGCGTTTCTATTGGAAGGGCCTGAAAAACATAGTACGCGAGTTCGTAAAATCGTGTGATGTTTGCGCGTGTACAAAGGCCCTAAATTGACGTCCGAATGAGCCTCTAACTTCGCGCAAACCAAGACAACCGTGGGAGGTCATTAGTATCGACTTAATGGGCGAGTACCCCAGAACATCAAGGGGAAAAACGAACCTGTTAGTAGCAACTGACTGTTTCAGTCGCTGGACCGAAGCGTACCCGATAGGCGCAGCGACTACAAAGACGATTGTAGACACGCTCGAATGCGAATTTTTCTCATGTTTTGAGTACCCCCGCGTATTGCTTTGCGACAACGGACGGAATCTGGTTTCTAACGAAATGATTACCGCGATAAATAGATGGGTGGCGGAAGCCTGGACCACACCTATTTATCATCCGCGCGCAAATCCGGTAGAACTGAAAAATCAGGAGCTAAAAAAAGGTCTCCGCGCCCTACTAGTTGAGGGCGACTATAGTGCCTGGGACTCGAAAATACCGTCGATACTATTTGTGTTGTGTAATCGTCGTAATGAAAAAACTGGCCTCCGTACTCGTTCTCGGCCGAGAGGGGAAACGACCCGGTGACTGGGCGATCGGTAAATGTAAACACGGCGACTGCCGACAATGTAAACAATAGCCGCCCATCACCAAAATAGCAGGCCGGCAAAATTATAGATAGCGTTCCGATGAAACACGTAGTAAAACCTTTTACGGTCGGAGACGTGATGTATTATAAGGCACACCACTTATCTAATAAACAAAAAAAATTTTGTGCCGGCTTCGCGCCGAAGTGGTGGGGCCCCGTCAGACTAGCGGAAAAAGTGGACAAAGTGTTCCTAACAGATCAAATTTCCCCACGTAAACTTCACGTTTCATGTCTAAAATTAAAATAGTTAACATGAATTACAAATTATGGCCCGAGTACGGACCGTCGTCGATGTATAGTAGTGCTACGATCCGCCGGTTGGCCCCATAGATGTGGACGACTTGGGTCGCGCCGTGGATGCTTTCCTCACGAACCCTTCTCCTCATTTCCCTCCTGAAACCCCTCGTCCCAAGAAATCGGTCGAGGAGTTTCCTTCCTCTGCTTCCTCGGTCCTGATGTCGTCCGTAGGTTACGGATGACCGGACCGAATAGTCCTTTCCCTCTTGCCAACGAGACTGAAGATTTCAGTCTAATACGGTAAGTCTTGTAGGCAATATCAATGACCACACACACAAGGAACATGACGATAAGTCAACAATTGTTTATTACTTATAACTACTGTGTATAATGCGACAATTTGTTTACAAAAACCGGCCGGGTCAAGAGATCGACTGACGGCTTGGTGGGGGGAGTTGACACGACACCGCCCGTCACTTTAGGCTGGCGCTCACCCGTGTCTCTCGCGATATCAGCCGTCCAGCTATTAATATGACACTCGGTTGTCTCCCCGCCCTTGACACCGAGATAAGGCCGCCGCCGAGTATGGATTACGAATATTGAAAAAAAAAAATACAGAGAGAAACGAGAGTTTTGTAAAAGCCAAGATCGATATCTGTGTGACGTAATAAATTACAACAATATTATTTTGTTATAAAAATTGCGTCTTACAGATATCGAATGAAAATTTGTAAAATTCTGCAACTTTTTATAAAAAAAAAAAACTATTTGATGTTTTCGAGAAATTTATGGTAATTTGAAGTACAATATATTCTCAAAATCAATAGTTTTTTAGGAATTTATTTATCAAAAACCTTATGATTTTTTTTTCTATAAAGTTTTAACTAATTGTTACCTTAGTAATAAACGTGTAAATTTAATCGATAAATATTTTTATGAAGATATTTACAATAGAAATTAAAATATTACATATTTTGTCTACTTTATAAAACAGGATTGGTATGTCTTCATTTCTCGAATTAGCTCAGAAGTTTAATAATTTTTATTTAAACAATATAAAACAAGAAAAATGTTATGCATTCATCGTGAATGGTTTCCAAGTAGGTTTGGTTCAAGAATCAATTATTTCAGAATTGAGTCGTTACCCAAATATATTTATTATTAACAACAAAAACATAGTACTTAACCCTATTTTTAAAAATTACGAAGAGAGGTCTACTCAAGTAGAAAAAGTCCTTCGTGACATGAAAGAAAAAAGACTATTTGTTACTCTAAAGGGATGGAGAGATGAGTGCTATGAAGTACGACTAATGTTTGGAGATCAACCACAACTGAAAATGGATCGTTCTGCAACTTGTTTATTTGGCATTTGCAATTATGGTGTCGATATTAATGGTTTTGTGAAGCACCCTACAAAAGGTTTGTGTATATGGCTTCAACAAAGATCGTTCACTAAACAGACCTGGCCTGGTAAATGGAACAATATGGTTGCTGGAGGTTTGTCAGTGGGGAATAGTGTGCTTGAAACTGCTTATAAAGAAGGAGAAGAAGAAGCATCACTATCATCAGATCTATTAAAAAATTTAAAATCTACTGGTACCGTGTCGTTTTTTTATGAAAGTGAAAGAGGGTTATTTCCTGATACAGAATTTGTGTTTGATTTAGAATTGCCAATAGATTTTATTCCTTTTAACAGAGATAATGAAGTAGAAAAGTTTGAACTATTAACCATTGATGAAACTATTACCAAATTATTATCTTCTGACTTTAAGACAACCAGTTGTCCTGTAGTTCTAGATTTTTTGGTAAGACACGCAATAATTACACCGGAAAATGAAAAAAGCTTTCCAGAGTTGGTTGAATTATTACATGTCCCTCTCCAATTATTTTATTCAAAGAAAGATATTGAATTAACTAAAAGTGGCTAAATAGATTACATCTAAATATGTTTAACCTTGAAAAAATCATATTTAGCATTTCAACCTAATTAATCTTTCGATATTTATTCTATTATAGTTGAAAATTTGATATTTACTTTATACTATTCTCAACTTTATTTTATTATTATAATTTTTTTTAATAAACAATCATTTACATTAATATATAGGTTGATCTAATCATATAAAAATGGTTTATTAAAAATTAGTCACTCGATATTACATCGGATCCTAAGAACCATAGCCTCGTATTATTTTGTTCACTAGTTATTCACATTTACACTCTTGATGGATTGGATTTAGTCTTTAACTTGAAAAAAATATTTTTTATAAATATATTTTCTTTAAAAATATTAGTGTTATCATATACGTAATTATTCTATTTCTTATACATTTTTGTTGAGTTACTTGACAAGATAAAAAAAGATTCCATCTTCATCCATTAACCTTCAAATCAATATAAAATTTAGTTTTTTAAATAGCAACCGAATTTTAGCTTCGATACAAAGCTGAGAAAGTAGTAATTTTACTATGAAGTGTTTTTTTTTTGTGTATGAGAACGCTCAATCTCAGCTCTCGCTGGACCGATTTTGATGAAAAATATGTCAAAAAAACACAAATCATATCTAGTTGAAGACATTACCCTCAAAATTTGAAAAAAAATTCTTCCGTTCCCCGTAAACGGAGGAAATCTCCCAAAAAATTACAAATTTAAAAATCGCTTATTTTCAACATTTATTCAATTTTTTTTACTTAAAATGGCCATACATTTTTTAAAAATGACCGAATCAATATAATTTTTTGACTTCTGGACTTGTCTTCGTGGTGAAAATGGACATCAAAGTTAAAGAAAAACGAATTATTTCGGTGAAAAAATTCTTGATTTTATATTTTATATTAATAAATTTATATTACTCTAACTTTTGGAAAAATGTAAGAATCAATATTATTATTTTATTTTTATATATTAAATTTTCAATTTAATTTTTGAAAGTGTTTCAGAAATACTGGCACTTTCATATATATCTTAAATTAAAGCTTATATAATATACTTTAATTTGAAAAAAAATATTGTCATCATGGTAAAAATGACTACCGTATTCTAAAATAGGCTATTTTTGTGTTAGAATTCTGGGTTTTATATATTATATTATTTTAAAATATATGACAAGGGGAGTACACTGATTTGGATAAATATTATATAAATGCAATTGATATAGCATAGAAAGTTAAACTTATTTTAATTTTTTTGATTTTTTGAAGTCGAGAAAAATAACTTTGAAATTTGAACTAGCTTAAATAGCACTTGTTTTCAACCGACGTTAGCGATGTACGGTTGCCGAGTCGGTAAAACTTGTGTTTTACACGCTTGGAGTACAAGGTATCAACTCGCGTATTCCAAGGAATTTTTTGCATTTTTTCTTAATTCTTCTTAAGTTAGAATAAATTTTCAACTTGTTTGATTTTCATCTCATTTAGATTCAATAACTTCAATAAAGATCAAGGATCCCATTACTGTAGTCGCCCCTTGCGAGAAGAAATTTCTTATTCATATTAAAATTATTTTACTATATTTTAGGTTTAAGCTTCGATGCAAAGCTGAGAAGGTATTTTTTTGTGACTATCATTTATTATCTCTGCTCTAACTTGACCTACTTTTTTCAAGGATACGTCAAATGAATACAATTCGTATCTAGTTGAAGATATTACCCTCAAAAATTGAAAATAAATTTTGATTTATCAATTAAACAGTTACTTATCCCATGTTCTCCATACATACAATTAAAATCCTTAATTTCTAATGTTTTCAAAGTATTTATTGACGAATCAAGTTTGATATGATAGGTTTCAACTACAAAATTAAATCATTTTACTTTGTAATTTAATAATTTTTTTAAAAGTTGGGCTAAATTCTTTATATATTTTTGAAGTAATATTTCTAAAAATATACCTCATTATGGATCGTATTTGTTCCCAGTATACCTGATCATAGCCACTTCCTATTCAAAGCATGGATAATTTCCTAATGTTTTAGTTTTTCCTTAAATACTTTCATATTTATGATATATAATATATGTCGGCTGTTATGTTTAATATTAGCGATTTCTGTGACTTGCTTTCCTTGATTGATCATTTCCTCTATTTGTCTTAAATTCGAATGCGATTCCTTGAGACATTTTAAAATCAGTTGATACACAGTTGACTAATGCAAATTCCTCTGTAGTATCAAACAAATTTCCTTCCACTCTATAAGAATTCACATTATATTCTACTCATTCAATAGCAAATATTTTCCTTGTGTTTTATAAGTGGCTAAGTTTTGAATATTTTTACAGACATCACAGCCTAATTTTTGGTTCTTCACTACTAACCAGGGATATTTTGCATAAAACTTAGAGTACATTTCATTTGTCCAGACACTAGAAAATCAAAATATTTAGAATCGCCATCAATAATGTTTTGACTGGCGTCGTCATTCTCGCTTAAACTATTTATATTACCACTAATTAAATTTGTGCACATATTATCCTCACCATAATTAAAAAGAGACATTTTAAATTTTTTTTCTGGAGTTTCCTCTTGGCTTGGCAAGTCTGAAGTCGAATTATTTGCATTTATGTTCAACTTTGTTAACCAATTAATAATGACATGTTTAAGTCTTATTTTTATTTTTTTTATTGAATCTTATACCGCAATATCCCACATAAAAAATATGAGTTTATGACGAATAATTAAGCTCCGGACATGTCGCATGACCGGATTTGCCGATTTTATATTAATTTTATTGTTTCATATAAGAGACAGCTAGGCATCCTTAACCGTCCCTGTGCTACGAGTTATTTTGAGCGCACAGTTTGCTAGTGACAGCAGTGAATTTTCTACCCGGCTATATTGAATTGTTTAAAGCGCAACAATTGTAGAATTCTACTTCGTTGTTATTTTTAATAATAACAATTAGATTAACGTATACAATCTTAATCCTGCGCACGTGGCGTCAATGGTTAATTGTGACCATCGCAATCATAAAGATTACGATTATTATCGTAGTAATTTCATTCTCACAGACAATTCAGTGTTATACTATAACACTATCACAGCAATAACAATAATAATACAAACGACCGGCATTGTTGACGTTCATACGCGAACACATAGGGCATATTCTCACGATTGTTGATATCGTATTTCCGAATAACAAAAACAAACTACTACTTGTATTTTTCATTTTTGGTTAATTTTAATGAAATATGGTTAATAATGTATATTATGACTGTAAGAGCACCGACCAGCTAACCTGGCTCACAATCACAATTCCATCCAAATTAAAATTTCAATAAACAGCGCGCCGACCGAACAAGCGATTCAATCGACAAAAGTAACAAAAACGGATTCGTTTTCTTCAATCAAAATGAGACTATTTTAAATAATCTTACTATCAACCACAGCACTTTCACACCAAATTCTCAATCACCCCTACAGCCCCACTGTCATCATAGTGGTCACGCTGTAGCTCCACAACTCGCCACCACCACACCCCTCATCCACAATAAGGACCATAAGATTATTAAAAATACTTGTCACCCGATCGTAGAGTCAATAGGTAACGACTATAGCGCGAGTCGGACCAACGATATGTTGATCATCGTGTGAGAGGGGAATACGGCATAAACGGCCTACCCGTTTATAGCGATTTATACCGCCGGCGAACACACCGTTTCGACCCCCTGTTCGAACCACACCCATTTTACTAGTGCCAGCCCGAGAATAGAGGCTGACATTATTGCGACGTAAGTCGTGTCAACATAAATAGCGCGCACAATCTTATTACAAATCATCCAAAATAAAAAATATTAAACGCCGTCGTAATATGCTTTTGGCTCAACCAAAATGATTAGAAATATATATATATGTATATATATACAGAGTGATTTTTTTATCATAAAAACATGTTTTTTTTTTATCTTTAGTGAAATTGTTGATATTATTAAACAACACACTGGGTACAGTAATATTATTTAAGATAACAGTTTAATGTATTTTTACTTATGTTAGTATAGTACAAGGTCAAAGGGACACATTCCTTTTACGATTATGTTGTTTTACTCAATGCAGCCTATTGTATACATGTTTACAGTTTAGTCGTAGTTTCACCGTCTATCGAGTAAAGTGATCCGTTGCCGTTGTACATCTCTTATATTATATGTTTTGACATTTTATATTAAATACTATTATATTACGAATAATTTCTAAATCTTTCAATTAGATAACCTATTCCATTCAACAGACATACTATTCTTGAATTATTAACTATGTAATGCTTTTTAAGTTCACCCCTTATACCTGGTAAGGATGTCAACTTATTTTTATTAAATAGGAACACATAATTTGAATTTAATAAAAAATGTTTTTAAATTAATAGTAAATGGCGTTTGATTTTTTAGTATAACTTTATTCATTTATTAGATATAAACATTTAAAGTTTCAAATTTTTGAGTTAATATACATGTATGATACACATGGATTACAAATACAGGTAGTATTGGTTTTTTATAAGATCGATATTAGCAGGTTGACACCTTACCCGTGTCTCTCTCGATATCTGCCGTCCAGCTATTAATATGACAATCGGTTGTCATCGGGTGTCTCCTTGCCCTTGACACCGAGATAAGACCGCCGCCGAGTATGGATTACAGATATTGCGTTCTGTTCCGTTTCCAACGTTAACCTTGACTGGTTGTTGCGTTTTTGGTTTCTTTTTGGTGCGGACATGCATTCTTTTCTTTTTTGTGAATTGAACTTCCCAACGGTGTATCAATGTATATATATAGATATCTACTTATTATAATATAGGTATATATACATATTTACTGACTATAGACAATGTAGATACATATTTTATACATTTACATAAAACTTGCGCGGCTCTATTAACCGGATACGTGTTAAGGTACACAGCATTGATATTATCAAAGGTAATAAGACACATTGTTGTGAGTTTATAAATACACTAACTGACAATACAGAAAGTATATCTATTGATAGTCATAATTGATAATAAACAATCCGTACCTGTGAAAGCAATGTCATAAAAAACCAATTAGCTACCTGTTTTTTTAATCCCTTGTATATTATACATGTATATTAACTTAAAAATTTGAAACTTTAAATGTTTATATTTAAAAACAAATAGAGTTATACTAAAAATTCAAATGCCATTTACTAGTAAATTAAAAACTCAAACATTTTATTAAATTCAAAATATGTGTTCCCATTTAAAAAAACAAAGTTGACACCTTTACCAGGCATAAGGGATGAACTTAAAAAGTATTACATAGTTAATAATTCAAGAATATTGTGTAACTAAAGATAATCAAAAAACATTTTTTTTAATTATTATTACTCTGTAAGTAATTGGGCGAATGATCCCATCTTGGATGTATGCGGAGACAACAGGTGAGAGGGAATAAAGTAGTTAAAAACGGAGAAGGCCTAAGGAATAAAGTGTTTGATACCAGCCAGTCATGTGTATAGGTCTACCCAACGCTTGTAATGTCAACGGTGTAGGGACATCACCATTAACTCTAGGCTGGACTCGTGTATAAGGAAGAAAGATAGATAAAATAAATATAGGTACTTTGAATGTTGGAACATTAACTGGTAGAAGTGAAGAATTAGTAGAAATATTAAAGAGGAGAAAAGTTAACATTTGTTGTGTGTAGGAAACTAAGTGGAAAGGAGAGAAATCAAGGGAAATAGATGAGGGTTATAAAATAATATACTCTGGTAAGTCTAGTACAAAGATTGGTGTAGTTTTTTAGAATTGGATAATAATGGATGAGGAGATGAAAAGTAAAGTAGAAATAGCTAGGAATAGTGACAGAATTATGGTCGTAAAATTGATATTCGAAGAAAAAGTGCTGAATGTAATAAGTGCCTATGCACCAGAAGTAGGATGTGATGAAATAAACAAGGAAGTATTTTGGAGAGAGATGGATGAGGTTATGCAAGGAGTATCTGGCAATGAAGATGCGATGATAGGCGGAGATATGAATGGAAATGAAGGTAATGAGAGGAGAGGATATGAAAGAGTACATATAAGGTATGGTTTAAGTGGGAAGAATGAGGCTGGAGAAAGAATCCTGGATTTCTCAGTATCGTATGATCATGCTGTGGTTAATACTTATTTTAGAAAGAGAGAACATCATATAACTTATAAGAGTGGGAAGAATAGATCACAGATCGATTATTTTATGTGGAAGAGAGAGAACGTAAGGCGAGTAAAAGATTGTAAAGTTATACCAGGCGAGAGTGTAACTACACAACATAGACTGATGATAATGAAGTTGTGGTATACCAGAAAGAGATTAAACAATAATAGAAGAAACACGAAGGAAAAATCGAAGATCCAGTGGTGGAAATTAAAAGGGGAAAATGAAAAATGTTTGTATAGAAAATGTTTGCTACAAAATAAACAACGCTACCACACAGTAACAGGCCATTTCCCTTTAATATTAAGAGGCTGCTTGTCACAAATACTGCAAAAGAGATTGTTGATGAGAGTAGGAGTAGAATGCCAAGAAACAAGGAAACCTAGTGGTGGGATGAGGACGTTCAAAAAATCATAGAAATTAAGAAAAAGCAATTAAAAGTATGGTAGAAGAACAAAAGGAGAGAAGATTGGATGGAGTATCAACGCTTGTACTAAGAAGCCAAGTTAACACGGTACCGGGTTTCCCTCTCCCACACATCAAGTTATCAACTTAAATGAAAGTGTATCGGAATCTGAATCATAAGTACACGGTGATCTAGTGGTAAGGTTTGTCTATACGACGCCTTGGGTCGCGAGTTCTAATCTCGTACCGTGTCTTTTTTCATATGATTTCCGGTACACTTTCTATAACCGTGTAACGTCACAAATTCGAAGGTGGACCGTTTATGATTTTTTTGTTATGTCTACTCATTGATTTTATAGCGTAAAAGAATCTTTTCCTGACACAACGGTGTCAACCACTCATTATTTTGCCGGTGACCGCTAGATAAGGTGATAAAAGAGAAATATAATTAAAATCGAATTGTTTATTAGTATTGATCCCTTCCAAAAATACTGACCGTTATCGATTTGAAATTGCCGTTATATCGGTGTTGGCTCTTCTCCATTCTTGCTTCTGTCATTGACCATGCTAGAGTGCACAAGTTTATTGTTTTTTGGTCATTTTTTTTTAATGATGGAGTAGAGCCACCAACGGCGAACGGCCAAGTCTTTTCGGCGAAGCATCCAGACCATCGGATGGGTCTCTTCGGCGACCGGGTATCGTTTTCTTTTATATATTATATTTATGTAATGAGCTATATTTTATTAATTATTTTATTTCATTTTTATTTTATCGTAAATTAACTTAATTTTGTTTATGTGTGGAGAGCACGTATTTCCCTTTTCTTCTAGCCAACGCTAAAGAGCGAGTGTCCAGACCGCTCCTGGTGTTCTTCATTAATTTCCGATTAACATTAACGGATGTGTTCCATTACCGTCCGTGATATTTGTAATATTATTTGTTTTTTTTTTGCCTTTATTTGTAAACATGGTTTTTGATGCATTCGTATTTTTGTCTATGTTTAACTTAATTTTCTTTTTTTTTAACAATTAAATTAAATTTCCTTATTAATTTCAACTGTAATATTTATTTTATTGCGCGAGTAACTTAATTACTCGCATGTATTTTATCACTGTTCCTTAATCTAGACACGGGCTACGGTATGTTTTACGTATCAACCACATACAACTTTGGTTGTCATAATTGTGTTTAATAAACCAAGAGTAATTTATACATATAACGACAAATTAACTTAGATTATACTTTTAATTAACTTAAAATTAAAAGCCACCTACGGTCCGGTAATCATATCTGATAGGTGTGACACTTCGCCTAGGTGGTGACGACCTTTGCTACTATAGCTAGTAGTTATGCAAGTGGCAAACCATTTTGTTGTTACAGGCCGAATTAAAAAAAGCCCCCTTGCAACCGGTCGTCAGTCCCCGGCGGCCGTTTTAAAGTGTGCAGTAAGTAAGGCGAAGTTAAAGAGGTATGTTGAATTGTATGATAGGCTAGGAACAAAGGAAGGTGAGAAGGAAATTTATTGACTTGCAAAGGTAAGAAAAAGGTAAAAGATTATCATTATAAAAGGTGCATAAAAAGTGTTGATAATAAGGTAATTTGAGTGATGTGAAAAAGGTATTTTGAAAAATTACTGAATGAGGAGTACCCAAAAAAGACATTAAAGGATATCTTGTGGAATTGTAGATTTAATTAGTGAGAAAGAGGTATGAGAGGCTGTGGCATCAATGAAAAAGAATAAAGCAGTAGGACTAGATGACGTACTAGTAGAAGTATGGANAAAAGAATAAAGCAGTAGGACTAGATGACGTGCTAGTAGAAGTATGGAAAATATTAGGTGATTTTGGCATAAGATGGTTGAAGAAACTTTTAAATAAAATCTTATTAGAAGGGAAAATACCAAATAAATGGAGGAATAATATTGTGGTGCCGATATTTAAAGGTAAAGGAGACACACAGGAGTGTGGAAATTATAGAGGCATAAAGCTTATGAATCATAGTATGAAAATTTGGGAAAAGGTAATAGTTAAGAGAATAAGAAATGAGACATCGATATCTAAAAACCAGTTAGAATTTATGCCTAGTAAATCATCAATGGAGTCATTATTTTGTGTGAGGCAACTAATAGAAATGTTTAGGGAAAAGAAGAAAAAGTCGTATATGGTATTTATAGATTTGGAGAAAGCGTATGATAGAGTTCCGAGAGAAGTTTTAAATTGGACATTAATGAGAAAAGGAGTCCCTAAAAGGTACATTAATATAAGAGGATATTTATGATGGTATTTGTACCAGAGTAAAAAGCGTTTTTAGCGGAGTTCACCAAAGTTCTGTTTCAAGCTCTTACTCATTTTTGTGATGAATTTACTATTTTTAATTGTGATGAAATTACTAGAGAAATACTAGGAGAGGTACCGTGATGATTGTTGATTGCTGAAGATATTGTGTTAATAAGAGAAAATAGGGAGGAAATCAATCAAAGGTTAGAGGCGTGGATATCAGTTTTTAAAGAAAAGGGTTTAAGAATACGTAGAAGTAAGACAGACTACATAGAGTACGAGTTTGACAAAGGAGAACACGAAGTAGGTGAAATAAGGAGATCAGTGACAATAGACAAGGGCGTGTTAGGAGAGGTGGACAGTATTTATATTAACAGTATATCTGTTGTGAAAAAGAGCGGTGGTATTTACGAGGATGTAGACACATGACAATGCGGGTGGTTCAAGTGGAGAGAAGCGTCTGGTTTCTTGTGCGATAAAAGAATTCCAATGACGCTGAAAGTTAAATTCTACAAGACTGTAGTGAGACCAGTTACGATGTATGGTTCAAAGTGTTAGGCGGTTGACAAGAAAGTAGAGCAAAAAATGAGTGTAGCAATGATGAGAATGCTTAAATGGATGAGTTGAGTGACAAGAGAAGATAGGATAAGGAACGAGCATATAAGAGGAAGTATAGATATAGCGTAAATCGTGGATAAGATGTGAGAAAATAGACTTAGATGGTTTGGTCATGTTATGAGGAGAGAAGAATCGGAAGCTGTAAGAACAGTTATAGAAATTAATGTTGAAGAAATAAGAGGTAGAGGAAGACCAAAAAAGAGATGGAGGGATGCTATTGAATGCTATTTGAGGACATCTGATGTGAGCATAGGTGATGTGAGAGATCGTGTCAAGTGGAAGTTTAGGATAAGGGTGGCCGACCCCAAGTAGTTGAGATTAAGGCTAGGAAGAAGAAGATTATTCTGTAAGTAATTGAGTGGGTTACAATAAAAAAATCACTTTGTATGTAATATATAAATATATATACACAAAAAAAATGAAGAAGTACCTTTTTGTTACATTACAACATAATTATTAAAATTTAAATCTATGGTATGTTTTGCTCACACAATGAATCTTATTGTACAATCTGCTCTAATTTTTTAAAGTGACTTAATTGAAAATGTTTTAATAATTGTTTCGTAATTTAGAAAAAGTACAGTAGCTAACAACAAATTAAATATGTATGAAATGAATAATAGCACAAGTCAACCAAAAAAACGAATTCAAGATGTTAAGACAGGATGGAACTCAACATATTATATGTTAGTTAGGTTTGTAGAATTGAAAGATTCTATTCATGGCATTTTAGAGTTACTTAATAGGGCACCAGAAAATCTTAAAAGTGATAAGTGGACTTTTCTTTAGAATTGTGCAATATACTTATACCTTTTGAAGAGGCTACAAAAGCAGTAAGCGGGGAAAATATATGTCTACATCACTTGTCATTATACTGTGTCAAGGTTTACTGAAAGTATGTGATAAAATGTCAAAAAATATATATAATCCTACAATTTTTGAAATTATAAATATACTTAGGTATAGTATGCTTGAAAAAGATTCAATGAAAAATATTGAAAAAAGTAAAACACTGTGCTGTTGCATATTTTTTAACTCTCGTTTTAAAAACATTCTATTTTTGTATGATTCTTTAATTCTTAGAAACACTAAAACTGATATTATTGAAAATATATCTCAAATTGTTAGTACTGTAAATGAAATACAAATAGATGAATTTTGTAAAGAAAAATAATGGACAACAACTTTCAATTTACTATAGAAGGCCCACAATCATCCAAAACAATATCATTTTGGGATGATATTGATTGTAGTGTAAAACTGTAGAGCCAACTGAAACATCTATATCTCAAGAAATCATCGAAGTTCAACGTTATTTAGAAGATGCTGTACTACAGAGAAAAAACGACACATTAAAATGGTGGTGTGAGCATATACCCATACCTAAAGTCACTGTCAAAAAAGACATTATGTTGTCTTGATAAATCTGTACCATGTGAATGAATTTTTTCAAAGGCTGAGCTAATCCTAAATAACCATCGCTATCGATTAAAAAATAAAAAAGTTAAAATTCTGCTATTCTTAAATTATAATGCTGATGATTTCAATTAACGTAAAATTATATTTATATATTTTAAATTTATGATTCATACAAGTTATAACAATTTTAATTAACATCAAGCTACATGTTGTTTTTTCATTTTATTTTATATTAATATATTACTGAAATAAAAATCCATGAATAATTTTTAATATATAATTATTAAACTTCGATCACAACTTACTAAAAAACAAAAATAACTAATTAGATAACAAAAAAACTTAAAATTACTATTTTACAACACGAAAAATAATAAAGACTTATAATAATAATAACAATAAACACTAAAGAAATCACTATCTTAAATAAAATAATAAATGCTATAAGCATAGTACTCTATGCTATAGAGACGACGTTTCTTATCTCAGTCGTGTAACCTTTTGAAGAAAAATTGACGGTCATTCACCTCGGCTTGAGTCATTTTGATTTCTGCATTCTCCTCTAGATCGCAGTGCAATAAATCATGTTGACTGATCATGCTTTTAAAAAGTTGCTGGTAAATAATTTATTGAAATTTTTTAAATTAATTATGCCAACTTATTTTTTGTGTTTGCATTAAGAATGAAATTTCCAAACAAAAGAACATCACATTCCACAAATTAAATTTTTAAATAACTATTTTTAGTAAATTCCCAAAAACATTTTTTTTTTTAAAGAATCCCACCCAATAACACAAATATTGTGTTATTAGTATTCTATATAATATACAAAATATTATTGTAACTTTTTTTATTTTATATTTTCTACTAACAGTCATATTCTTTCCAAATGGAATGAATTCTTATTAAAAAATAAAAAGGACTGTCAAAAGGTTATCAATAATACATTACTTTGCTCTAAACGTTTTCAGTCTAATAAAAATACTAGGTCTTTGTGTAAAACAGCTGAGTAACAATTTCTGTTTGTTGCATTTAAAGTGAAAGAAAATTTTATTCTGTTACTTGCAAAATGTAATTACTGTTAACAATTTTTTTTTTTTATTAAATAGTAATTTCCTATATTAATGCAATACATGATAATAGTAATTACTCATTTAGTATTTAAAGAACAATTTAGATTCTGAATGCAAAATACTTTTTGTTCAATTATCACATTTAGTTTTTCATTTTCTGATTAATTTTATTATTAAACCAAATTGTTATATCATCCTGAGGTCGTAGTTCTATTAGATGCTGCACATATGACCAAACTAGTGCGAAACTTTTGCTGAATGAAAAATTTCATAGATAAAGATGATAATACCATTGATTTTAATTTTATTTATGATCTAAGTAAAATTAAAACTATATTAAAAATATTATTAATTTAAAAAACTAAAAAATATTAAACACATACTAGTATGTGTTTAGCGTTGATAATGGTAACATTGTTTCCTAAATACGTATCCGCGACTTTTCATTAATTTTTTGTGGCTTTGAGTTTAATATTTTTTAGTTTTTTAAATTAATAATATTTTTAATATAGTTTTAATTTTACTTAATTAATTAGCCACAAGTGATCAATTTTTATTATATTTATTTATGAACTGTTTATATTACAAGAATGCTGCTATTTAGCTAATGAACTTAGAGACACATATATATTTTTTTAAACAAACAATTGAAAGCAAAGCTCTTAGATTTTGTAAATACAATTTAATTTCTATGTTATCCCAATCAGAGAAGAATGTTATGTAATGAGTAATTTTTCCAAACAAATAATGATTTATATTTCTGGATTTGTAGTTAATAAACCAAGTTCAATAATTAAGTCTCCTTGTGTTTCTGCACTTTTCTTCTAATAAAGAAAACTTTTTACATTCTATTAAAAGTTGAAAAAATAGGAATGGTATCAAGGTGGTTTATGTTACCGAAGTGATATTCTATGTATATTATGTTATGAAACAGATTTTGTTTTAAGGAGTCTTGACTATAAAAATATAGCTGTCAATATGTTATATGAAATATTAAATAATTAATATATAAAGAAAAAACTATGCTAGTATGAACTTTTAGTAGAATTGCATATTGATTACATTTTTTTTATCACTATGAAAACATTAAATAATAATAATAATACAAATTGATTGCATGCACAATCCATTAATGTATGAATAAATATGTAATATTTACCAATTTTTAAGATTTAAATTATTTTTTAATGAATTGTAATTGAATTTTTACACACTACTAATCATCTACACTATTGGTAAAATTGTTATATTAATAATTATAATTGTAATTTGCAACCATATATTCGTTGAATTTTTATATCAAATTAATAAATATATAATAAATTGATTCACATTAAATGAATATTAATAATAAATATGCATTATTTCTTTCGACCATATGAATAAATGTTATTTAGTTAATATTTGCTTTAAATAAAAATAATGCTTTATTTTTCATTATCAATCAAAACTATTATCAGTTAATATGTTCTTTCTGGACAGCTATCTAGCGGTGAATGCTAACATCAAATTGACTCAGAAGAGAGTTGAACGAACGCTGATTTTTCTTCAATAAATCATCCTCACGTCTCCTCTATATTACTCTAGGGCTATAAGAATTTAACTGTCAAGAGAGGAGCAACAGATAATTATTTTATCATAAGACACTTAATCTAAAAAGATAACTGTGATAACGTAATAACATTTATAAAATTGTAAAACCAAGGTAGATTTATTAAAATGTCAACAACTAGCACTCCTAATGGTGTCAATTCTAAATATGAGACTAAGTACTATGTGTGAAATAGTAATGACCGTGTTTAAAACACAAAATAATATTATCTGTTACTATTTCTTACGAGTAACAACTTGTTATTTTTACTCAAGCAGTAACTGTTATTTTTTTCCATCATTAACGTATGCATCTATCAACCATACCAAGACTAGAATTTTGTGGCCCTATATTGTTGGCTGATATACTAATTGAAGTATTGACTGAACTGAAAAAAATCGCAATATCAATAGCAGATAATAATATAGTGCTTTTGGCAAACTATTGTTTCTTCCTGGACCAAAACACCATGTTACCTCTGAAATGGTATCTATCCAATAGAATTGCTAATATCTTAAACGTTACAAATTCATCGTAATAAAGACATGTCCTACCAGATCACGATCCTGCTGATTTGATTTCTGGTGGTGTGTCTTGCGATGATTTAGCAGACATGTCTTTATGGTGAATATGCCGCAGTAGTTATGCATGGATTCAAGTAGATAGCTACTTTTAAATGAACTAGTAGAAGAATTTCCTGAACTACGCATCTATCCAAGTCTAGTTAATAACTGCATTATATCTGTATTTGGTTAATTTAATATTTACTGCTCTACTTATGGCACCATTCCTCGTCAATTTATTACTATTGACCGATTTCATAGTATAGAAGATTGAGTTCCAGAAAGCAGAAAGCAAAACAAGGATGGATGTTTAGCATTAATGGCGAACAGATGGCGTACTCTAGCTGCAACTCCAGCAACTATTCCCAGTCTAACTCAAATGGTCGGACTACACTTTTCCTAATACTGTTTCGTCTTCTATTAGTGACGATAATTAGAATAGTATTAAACAAGATATTAAAAACCGTTGCATAGTTGGGTCCAGTATAGATTTAATCTGACAGTGATTAAAATCACTATCATAAGAAACGCTTCGATGCAAATCTGTAGACAGTGTTTAATTCTAAGAAATTAGTGGATAATTAAAAAAGCAACATCCACATTTATTTCCTTAATTATAACCAGATTAGTAATTCTTTTAATTGTATATTATATAATTTTTAAAATAATTGTTTTCAAATTATTATTGATTTTGATTTTTAATATGTAAAAGTAATCATTTTGAACCTACTTTTTTTGTCCATTAAAGTGAGTTTTAATACAAAAAAATTAATTTATTACTATAACTTTTATCTCAACTGGCAAGTTTGAAATTGACATTATTAAATAGAAAGATTAATATACAATCAGAAAATTTTATAATTACTATTTACAGTACATTTACCAGAAAAATTTGATTTTTTTTACATTTTTATCTTAATAGATCACTTAAATAAAAATCATAGTAATATTTCTAATTACTTTTGGTGTTTAAAAAGATTCTACAATGGAAATATTCAGAATTTAATTTATTATTAATTGAATTTTAATGATTATATATCTAAAAAAACCCAGCACAGGGGGATCGCGGCATAGTGGTGACGTGCCATAGATGGATCAAGTATAATGATATCTGACAGTGATTAAAATCACTATAAAAAAAAACGCTTCGATGCAAATCTTTAGATAGTGTTTAATTTTAAAAAATTGGTGAATTTTCCAAAAGCTACATGATCTGCTAGTTCATTATTAATATCCTAATTAAGATAAAGTATGTCGAATTAAAAAGGGAATACACTTTTCAATATGTCATAGCATTATAAAGTTAAAAATGTAAAAAATAAAATCAAGAATTTTCACACAATAATAGCATTTGGTAGCCATTTTCACCGTGAAGATAAAATAAAGTCCGAAATTTTTTTTTTTCATGATAAAGTATATTACATTAGCATTATTTTAAGATATATATAAAAGTGTCAGACCTTCTGGAACATTTTCAAAAATCAAGTTTTTTGTGAAAAAATTGTCATTTTAAATCACCCCCTGTGGGCAAGTAAAGGGTCACATATAAAAAAAAATATACCAAATGAAAGGTAATGATATCATGCATCTATATAAAAAAAAATTATATTGATAATTAAAAAAGTTATGGCATTTTTAAGTAAAAAAAATTGAAAAAATTTCGAAAATTCGCGATTTTTAAATTTGTAATTTTCTTGGAGGTTTCCCCCATTTACGGGGAACGAGGGAATTTTTTTCAATTTTTGAGGGTAATGTCTTCGACTAAATACGACTTG